GCTGTGGTGGCAGCCAGGCTGGGCTGGGCACGGGCTCCCCCCGCCAGTACCCCCGGCAGAAAATCACGCGCGTGAACCTCAGGGACTTCATCTTCTACATGGAGCAGGAGCGGGACATGAGCCGCTCTCTGCTGCTCTACCGAGCTCTGCTGAAATGAAGCCAGCAGCTGTACTGATTGCTCCACAGAAGATCAACTTGCATTGAAAGCTGTCATTTTAATGTGCCTTCTATTCTTTTCAGAAGTCAATGTTCCAGTAATTTTGTTTTGTAARATTGTCAGACACATGCAATAAATTCCCTTTATGTAAAAAATAATAATATAAAAACCACAAAAAATGTGCAAAAGGTTTAAAAATGTTAACTCCACAAATAAAATCAACACCCAAGTCTTGCTCCATTTGGCTGTTTTAGGTAAGGCTGAAGTAGCTGGTGTTGAAGTTACACAACAGCAATGGCTCACCTAAACCATCTCCTGGCCAGGACTGGGGCAGGTTCATAGGAGTGRGTCCCAGCCATGGTGTTCACCTGCGTGTTCACTCATGGTGTCGCGCTTGCTTTCAGTTTACTGGCACTGTCTCACTAACCATGGTGATACCTGTTGCTATTTTAGCTTAGTTATAATGGCAACTTTTTGCACAGCCAAGAGACTAGCCACTGCTCACTCCCACCAATTCTATGTATTTAGAATTTTTGCTTTTACTGCACAGCTCATTTCCTGAGCCATTTGCTGAACCAAATCTTAAGTGTATGAAATCTGTTTGCTTGGGTCTCAGCTGAGTTACCTTGACTTGCTTCCAGTTTTCTAAATCTCATCAACCTTTTGCGCATTTGTAGCATCTGGCTAGTAACAGGATTCAAAGTTGGGTTTTATTTTCTAAAAAAATRTTAATTTATTTATTGCAAAGAGTATGGTTTAATGGTAGTTTTAAAAGTGACTATTGTTCAGTAATTTAGAGTATTCTATATGGGGCCGGATCCGCTCCTGGAGTGGGAGAGCAGGTGAGCCCTGGCAGCCGGTGTCACCGGGCGTGGGGACACCTTTGCTTTGGACAGCTGGACCAAGGACTCCTGGAGAGGCCACTGAGGGGCAGGTGGCCTGGAGCCCGAGGAGCAGCTGTGAGTACCTGAAGGGRGTGGATGCCTTCCAAGTGCTTTGCTGCAGCAGAATTTGGGCCCACGCAGGAGCGCAGTGCCGTCGGTGTGAGTCTGAAAATGGGGATCTCGCAACACGGGCAGGCAGGGGCACGAGCTGTGCTGCAGAGCTGACAGTGTTACAGCCACCACGCAAGGGACACGTTCGCTTATTTATCTTCTCCATTTTTACTGTGTTATGCTTGCCACTTTTTTGAGGCAATATTTTTTTTGATGGGAAACCATAGCAAAAGCACAAATAGAACTATTTGTCCAATAGTTTTAAAAACAAAGGTTTTAATTATTTTTTAAGGTTTATGAAAAGCAGAAGAAAATTTATACTGCTGCTATTTAGCCAAAAGATTATTCATAAGGTATTTAAGGCCAGGAATTGTAAAGTTATGTTTTAAATGTACTGATAATTTGTACATATTGTTTATAAAGGCCTTGTGTTTATTAGAGTTACGTTATTTTGATGATTTCTGTACATAATGGTAAATACCCCCAATTTGTGTGAAAACATACTCCCTTATTTGTACTTAATTTTGTAAAGAAATAAAACAATTTACTAAAGTAACGCATTGAGTGACATACAGTATTAATTTATCAAACATGAATTTCACATTGTCTTGTAGTTCTTAAGCACTGGTCAGAAACATTTTGCATTAAAATATTAACAGAACCCACAAAGAAATATTAAAACCAAATACTTCAATGTTTTGTTGTGCTGATTCTTATCCTTTGTGAAACATCTAATAAAATTGTCAACAAACCTCGATGCCATTAGTACAGAGAATGGATGCACTCAGCAGTGGCTTTCTCGGGAGCGATGGCTCCGAGGAGCACAACAGAACATTGGCTTTGCTTTCTTGTGTGTGACGGGAGCTGTGAGAGCCGGGGCTCAGAGCACTCCTGGAGCTTTGTGTTTGCTGAGCACAGGGGCAGAGCTCAGCAGCAGCTTTGTTCAATGGGATCAGGTGAAAAACCAGGCTGTGCTTGGCTTCTTGGCCTTTGCCACACAGAGGTGTGCTGGCTGCGCACCACAGCTTCACTGCGTTTCTGTGGTGTGTCAAAGCATCTCTTAGTGATGCTGAGCAATGTTCTTCATTAAGTTATGTTGCTATGGTTTAAGGCCAGAAGTAAAAATTCAAATCAGTTTTTGCTGATATTGCTGCCTAAAAATATAGGGAAATAAGTAAAAAAGATATAAATGAAACTGTAATAATCTTTAAATAAGTGACCTGAAGTTACTAACTAAAAGAACATGTCCTAACTTAACGTTTTTTTAAAGGCATATTTCTTCTAAGAAAGTGATTGTTTCCACATGTCTTTCTTGCCTGTGTGCTGTTTGCAGTCAATGCTGTGACGTCATTTTTAAACTTTCTGTCTCAAGTTCACATTTAACTCAGCTGGCGCAGCCTGGAACCCTTTCCAAAGCCACCTCAGCAAAGCCGCCCCAGACACAGGAGCTGCTTATTGAGCCATAAAAAAATAAGGTAAACACCAAACTGAGGARAAACCAACCAACCACAAATACTTCCAACATTCCACAGATGTGTAAAAGCACCATCCCACTCTTCGCTCCCCAGAGTGGCCTGGGGAGAGCACCAGGGGCAGGAGCAGCCCCTGGGATGGAAAATCACCTTTATTCCCTGGCAGAGAGGTAAGAACAGAGAGGATGCACTGCTGGAGGCGCTCGGCTCACCCTGCTCCAGAGGGCAGGGCACCAGTGGGTACAGGGTCAAAACAAGAACCTGAACGGACAATTGAAGGATACTTTGGACTTAAAGGCATGAAATAATAAATAAAACACGTTTGTTTATCTTTTTGTAAGAAATGGCTACATCAAGCTGAACGGAGTAATAGGCTGGAGAAGATGCAATCAAAAATTCTCACCTCTTTCAAACAACAKGGGAGATACAGTGAGTGTTCCACCCTACGTGCTTGGTTTTGTTCATTTACTTTACAGAAATGTTTATGGCATGAAGTACTGTATAAGAAATGTGCATACACAAATACATGACAATAATACGTTAAGTTCTTTACAATATTAAATGTATAATATACAATTCTACAGATATCTTACATACAAAGGTGAATGTTGTGCCATATATTCAAATATGGCAATGCCTAACGACTTCAGAATGTCGTACAAGTATAAAACCACAAAATAAAATAACTTTACAACTCTTAAAGTAGACAGATTTGCTSAACTGTTCTGCTAAGGTATCAGGCCAACTGGCCAGGATTGCCATTAGAGATTTCCAAGTTGGGTGACCAAGGTGAGAAAACCCGCAGAGGTCTGATTTTCTATGGACAGGTATCCAGCCCTTTTCCAAAAATTAGACCCCTGCCTAGATTTTACCTTGGATAGTCAATACAGCTCAYTGCTTTTGAAAGTGTTAGTCTTAAACATGATTTTTAGATTTTGTCTGATTGCAATCAATTTGCATTAAAGAACTGTTGACCACGTAATACTCTGCCCCTTGTTCTATATGGCCATATTTGTACATCTAAAACCATGTTTAATTAAAACTCAGCATCTACAACAGTATTCTATAAATTTATGTGGGAGAAACAAAATTGTGATTAACACATGAATTAGTGATTGAGAACCCAATCATGCTAAACAGTGATAAACAGGATTTAGCAGAATGCTGTTTATAACCTCACACCGGCAAATGCGGTGCTGTCTCCTGAGTTAGGAAGCCCCATGAGTGGATGCTGAGTCCTGGCATTAGCAGGACCCTCCTGCAGACCCCTGACTTTGTTACAGWGAAAGGGGAGAGGGCAGCTACAGAATTCAAATTTTAATAGTAATTTAAAAKAATAAAACAATTTAAACCAAAGGTGGCCTGCTTTCATCTGGCAATGGTAATACAGGGTTTTAACAATTCTTTGCARGAATTCCAGACCCATAAAGAGTGGGCTTGGCCAAAATTCTTAAACTTCCCTGCTAAATGTGGGCTTCTAACGTGGTTAGTTAATGATTAACAAGGGGTGGCAGAGCTTGCTTGGCAGAACCACGCTGCTTTGATGATGCAAAACTCAACAGTTGCTGTGTCAAAACAAGGATGACCCTTATGTGACGGTAGATGGCATTTTATTTTGTGCTTCCAGATCCTTACTGTTGCAAATACTGCCATAAATGGGCCTGTCTGACTCCCTGTAACTTGTTTGGTTTGATTTGGGTGGTATTTAGTACTGAGCACCAGTGACTATAAATCAGTCCTTTTCTGGTTCTGGATCCTGTTCACAGAGAGAGACCTCAGCTGGAAATGTAGTACAAAAATAAGCCATTTGCTTGTGTGGGTGATACAATCCCCAGGTGGCCGCGATGCTGGGGGTGTAAAGCATGTCTGATATGGAGGAGGGGCAGCAGTCAGGGAAGATTCTCAGTGCAGTTTTTAGGGTTCTTCCTCCTGTCGACGCCCCCGTCCCCGCGGCGCAGCTCCGGGGTTCCTGGCAGCTCTCGGGGCCGCTGTTCCTGCTGCTCTGCTCCACGGCTTCCACAGCTCTCGCTGCAGACCCCAGCAGGGTTTGCAAGCTTTGCCTGTTCCACACCACTGCTGGGCAGCCCAAAGTCCATCCCAGCCCTTCCATGCTGAGCATGCTCAGGAGCTTCACCGGGAACCACGGACAACTTTTCCAAAAGCATTCCATGGCTGGCTATGTGACAGGTAGTTTCAAAATACCACTAACTGGCAACATAAAGTCAAAATCTGTTYGCTAATACTGTTTTGCAAATCCTCAGTGTTTCATGTAAGGGACTATTAAACACTTCTATGGTTAGAAAGGGGGTGTGGGGAGGGTCTAGTCCAGGGGCTCCTGTTTTATTCTGATTGTTGGGGTGGGTTGTGGCCGTCTGTCTTCACGACACAGCACRTATTCGCTGAACTGGGAGGAATCCACCCCACCACCACAGGAAGCTGCCACGCTAAATCCCTTTTGAAATAATCTTTCAAGCACCTGCAATGTGGAGGGAAAAAAAATCAGATTAATATTTAGCAAATTTTAGTAATAAGAGCATTCAGAAGCACCAGATCTAAATGATGGATTTAGTCTTTCGAGTCCTCCTTGAATGAATATTATTCAGCTATAATTCTATAACTTATTGTTAAATGACTAYACAGTGATTAAAGTCTCGCTCTCAGCAAACCTCTGTAGAAAACAAAAATTATTCAAATAAATAAGCACTCTGCAGAACAGCTTAGTACATTATATAGTAAAATACTGGACTGTGGTGACACTGATGCTACCTCCTACTGCTTACAGAAAGCAACATCAGGTTGAAGTTGTAATAAAAAGCACCAATTATTCATTAGTAATATGAACAGTCTGAGAGAGGGGGGCTGCAAAGCTCTTCCTTGGCAGATGAAAATGTAACGGGAGTTCATATGACACATCCACCAGATCTTCGTGGCAATCCCAGCTGCTTTCCCTCGCTGGAAGGGAGCACAGCATGGCAGGGACGAGATGTGGAACTGCAACATGGACAGGGGACAGGGGAATGCTCTGGCCCAAGAAAGATGTTAATCTCTACTGTCTAAATATGGATTTTCTCTTTCTCCTCCTAAAGAAAAGTTGGAGCAATTTAGATGCATGAATTTGAGGAACCCAGAGGCAACTCTAATTTCTGCAACTGTCACACAGCACATTTCCCCAGGATATGTGGWTCCTGGCAGTGGCTTTGGGGCCGTGTTTTCACACGCAGAAGTGTTGATATTCAGCTTTCCCAGCAGCGCAGGATGCACCAGGCTCTCCTCAAACCCACCCAGTGCAGGTCACAGTGCAGGACCYGCTCAGGCTCTCCTGAGCCCAGGGCAGCACCTGCAGTGATGGTCCATGGAGGGGAGCAGCCTGTGCTCTTCTCCAAGAGCCTCACCCAGGTACAGCTCCCACTGTGGCAGCGCTGGAACAGGACAGTGACC